TAATTCATAAGCAGTTCTTGTCCCACTGGTTGGTCCTGTTTGAGAATTCCAGCACTCTCTCAACAGATAGCTGTAACTCTCTTACAAGTGGCAGTGCCACCTTGTGGACACTCAGCAGTGTTGGACAGACAGTTGTAGTCCATGTCTTACTAAAAGAAGCAGAATTAACTACATGTGCCTTCACTGACAGCTGGCTCCACTTGGGCAAGCAGGGGAGATCATCCATGACAGCTGCTTCAGTAACAAACATATACACTTAGCTGTACTTTGGTCAGTTAATGGTATCTGTCACATGGTTCATAGTGACTGTCATGTCCTTATAAGTCGTACAAAAACACAAACTGAATAATTGTTCTAGTGGAGTTACTATTTATAGTTCATGTTATCTCATGTTCTTCACATGTACGACATGGTACATATGTATAATAGAAACAATCCATTATTTTGCTCAAAATACACCATGCACACAATTCTAAGATGATTTATACGTAAGCATTAGATCTTGAATTAGGGTACTGAATGATAAAATAATCAAAATTGATTAAGTTACATTTCTTTTGAATCAGATTTATCAAATTTCACTCATGAAGTTCCTGAAGTGAGAATACTTTATTTTGGTTAATGTACAAATTTGTTACTTGTTAGCATATATTAGCAAGTGATGATGTCTTTGTTGATTATATAAGTTATTTGTTGTCACAGTAGGCCCTCCTCACATACACATATCTTGATATTCACATTTTCAATGCAACATATCCTGATGATTATTTCAACATTTTTAGTACGACTTTATCTGGCAAACACAAGTTGATTAGTTTAGACTTGTTCTGATGTCTTTTTTTAAACAAAAATAGATCATGAGTCAGTCATTGAGTTGGCTTCTCACATACTGCATGGTAAGGTGATGTCACTTCCAATAGACTATAGGATTGAGCTATGTAATTATGCTGAGTTGAAAGAACTTATTGAAGGTATATTGTCCTGCACATGTATCAAAAGCAATGGAACAACAGAAATTCTATCAGATGGATGGAAAATATAACAGAAAAAATATAGATAAAGACAGTCCCTTTCCCTGTCATTCTATCATCACAACTTATCCCACTGTTCCAAAACATATTTTTTTATTACAGAATGTAATATAACTTTCATTAATGTTCATTAAAAAGGGAGGGCTTTTGGTTCAAGTGACAGAAATCACGTACTTAACGATGGTCCTTGGAAGTTGTCAAGATGTCGTTGAGGGGAATTTAATTTACTTTGAAAGAGAGAAATATCAAAGAGGGGTGTCATTTAGGACAGTCACAGGACTAATACCAGAAACAGCTCATGGTTTTTTTATTGTGTGTCTTAGCAGATTAAATCAACAGTCATGAATCTGGTCAGAGCATAACAGCATGTTTCATGTATTTTAAACAGTAACAATCATGTGAAATTGCTGGGCAACAAAATGGCCAACAATCATGTGGAATTGTTGGTCGTATGGTTTGAGGACATGAGACAAGCTTGTCCTGGCATCGTTGGGATCAAAGAACCAGCAGTGTGCACCACTTAAGTGTTTATCATCTTCAGTCCCGGCCAGAGTCCTGATTGTGTTTTGTGATTATTTAATTACGGGAATCCGGCGAAGGATTTGACTAATTTAGCGGAGCACATGGCCGTGCAGGACAATTATTACAAGCGGTAGTGTTCAACCATCCATGGGTAGGATATTGATTACTGCCGACTGGTGTCGCACAAAATCATTGCAAATCTTGTTGCTGAAGCCTCAAAATGTCTCGTTGTGCAATGCATTAGCTTGACCAATCAGCTGTGGGCAAAGGGTCACATGTCGTCATTTGTCATTTATGTCTTGATTAGACAGCGCTATGTTGGTTACAGAAAGTGATTTTAGGCTTTTTACCAGCACAACGTAATTATATTGAACCCAAAGAAACACAGTTGAAAAGATTTTGAAATTGATAGATTTTTTCATCTCTGCTTGTCATACAGGCAGTAACACACTTTGCCAGTAGCAGTAAGGATTTTATTGAATTATGATAGTTTGTAATCATATTCAGGGGCTTCTGTCAGTTTATTCCTTGCCCACAGCTATGTGAAATTTGAAAAAAGTGTTTTATTGTCTATTAATTTTAATTATGTTCATGAAAGTGATGCTGATCATTTTCCAATTTAGGTATGTGGCTGGACGCTGTCGCAGAGCCTATTAGGTTGCAATTCTGATTATGACAGTGTTATGAGGAGGATAATTAATGACGCGATGCTATCAGCGCTGTAGTGATTAATGGGAGCCAGAGTGGAGAGGACATGTTTTATCACATCCACTTGACTCTCAGTCCTCTACTGAGGGAATAAATCACACACAGCCATTTTGTCCCATATCTTTTTCACTCCAGACCTTTCCTGGAATGAATGACTTCAACTTGTGAATCCTGTTGCACATGTCATATGTTGATTGCAAAATGAATAGTCATTTCTTGTGAGAAATTGTCACTTGTCATATTTTCGTTAGCTGGCTTACAGTGCTTCAGTTCAAAAAAATGTTGACAACACTGATAATCCTCAACACTTGAACATGGTCACTATATGTGATGTCATTTTTACCAGGATTGTTTGCATTTATTTTAAGGGATTCATTTCCATATGACACATAAGACTTTGAAACGTCATGACTTGATGAAGACTCTTAATATCCAACATTCCTGACCTGATGATATATGTTTCGAAAAATGTAAACCTTATTTTCACCTTTACCTTATTTCAGATGTTTATCATTTTGAATACTATGTGTAATAGTCAGTCCAAGCAAATATTTAAAAAGTATACTACCTAATGATTTCTAACATTCAGTACATTTATCGTACAGTTTCCTGGTATAAAGGTTTCAGACAAGTCCTTGGCAGACATTTATAGCAAAGACGTAGATTTGATTTTGTAATTGAATGTTACACATCCGACACTGATTGCATGTCTGGAGTCAGAGAAAAGTCATAACCTGGGTACATTCATTTATTTTTTCATTCTAAATTGCAACGAGTCTTGATAGTTGGGGAGGGTGATCCATGAGACTTGTCACAATCATTGTCAGTTCTCTGGCTGCTATTGTTGCAGCATCACCTTCACAACGCAAGACAGACTCCAAACACGACTTCATCTTGCCAAAGTTACGCTTGGAGGTGAAGGTGCTGCCATCTTGAAATCGCTCATGATTTGGAAAACATGATGATGCCATATGAACCCTAATCCAATCACTGTACAAATCCTGGTGCTGCTGTTTAGTGGGATTAGTACCTGTTAGGTGATCAATGATTGGGTCAGTGGTTCGAGAATTCTTCCACATTTCAGTGGACTTCCTCAAGTGTCAGTTATCTGTCATGGAGCACAAGTGTTTTTAAAACTGTGATTTTAGAAAGGTTACAAAAGATATGAATAGAATTTTATTAGGTGTCTTTTAAATATCAATATTAGTAGAATTTTGAAGTACTGTTGTTAGAACTTGAGTTTTATCTGTATTAGAGTCCAAATCAGCTTATGTCTCCAAACCACCAACATTGTTTGATGTGCATATACAATATTTATACAGAAATTGAAGATTGCAGGTGTTGGATAAAATATATGGATGCAGAATGTTCAGTGTTGAAACTGACCTATTTTGAGAGGTTTTCATACGTGGACACTGTTTAATCTTCCAATATTCCAACTATGATCAGGTAGTAATCTGATTGTTTCGTGGACCAAATATTTTCTTTCTAATTTATGTTACCCAATGAAATTGCAAACAGTTGGCAGATTATTTATGAGTAAAACTACAAAGAAGACTTGTGTGGCTTTAATTTTTGTTAAATTTGATCATGTCTAGATTAAAGATACCATGAGTGATCCCAGACATACAGTTCTCCATGGTACCAATTGCCTATGCATTGTAAAGCAGTGTTACCATGTCTGTGTTGCCCAATCACAGTGTTTTTGTGTTGATGTCAATCAATGGACTGACACAATGAAGGTGACACAATACAAGCACTGTTGTTGAAAAAAACAATGCCTATAAATTGTCACAATTTGTAGTCTACACATTAGGTAGATAAACAGGTATAAAATAGTGCTGACATTTATTTGTGTGCTGTGCAATTTGTTCCCTTACTTTGTGGGACATGTGAGAATGTCCTGAAGCTAATCTGCTTATTTAATCTACATCTTTTCCAATTTTACACTAAGAAAAATGCATTATGGTCCCTTTAGAAATGTCCAAGTTTGAAATATAAAATGTACATTTCTATGGAGTACGTTATCAACAATATATATAATGTATCTTTATAATCTTTGTAAGTTTGTAAATGTAAGTTAAAAAAATGTTAAATGAAAGAGAACAAATTGCTCTCTGATTACATTGTATTGATTTGTTTCGGAATATCAATACATTCTTGATAAATGGTTCGCTTTCTCAAGGTATTGGAAAAGATCTGTCAGTTAAAGTTGTTTATGGTTTGTTTCCACCTTTAACATTTCTGTACAATTCTCATGTAGGAATAAAATCTGAAATTTAGCTACTGAATGAGGAAAATATCTAAATTTATGAAGTAGAACTGTTTCCAACAGATTTATCAAATTACCATAAAAAAGTTCCTGATCTGGTGACTTAGTTCTTAGGTCTTTCAGTAAATCTTCAAATGAAATCATTATGCATCTTACTATGTGTTATGCATGATTTGATTTAACATCATTAAAGTCCATATTGATCAGTATTTATGATATACATTACTAGTTATCACAGTAAGCTTTGCGCATGTCAGTACAGGTCATAACTGCACCATCATGTAGTGTATCACAGTACTTAGTTGGCATGCTTTACATGGTCCAAAACTAATGTGACCACTCTTGAGCTTGGTTCCAATTATTTGATGTGACTGGCACTGAAGGAGATTCTGTCTGTGGGTAGAACAGTACCACTAATACAGTTGGTTCCCTCTTTATCCATGACTGACATTAGCTGTTTTGTTCAGGTGAAGAGTTTGGAGACTAAGGAGCAGAGCAGCGAAGAAATCCATCGCCAGACCATCACCGACACACAGAGAGAAAAGCATGGTGGGTATTCGCAAACGATACAGTTACAGATTTTTTACTACAGTCCCTTCAGACCAGGGCCAGCTTGCGTAATGTGATCCTATGACTGGTAGCCCCACTACTCTTACAGACTTACAGCTGCGGTCCCCCAAAAGCCACCCTTTCGCTGCAGTGTACATTATGACTCAGAATGGACATTGTGATAACAATATTTTAAAGTTTTGGGGTACATACTTTTGTAGATAAATATACCAGTATGTTCCTGCTGACACTGGACACAGCCATCTTATTGGAAATGTCATGTGAAGCATACAACCAAGGCCTAGCCACTACCTTGTTTACTTTTCAACATTCTTAGATCTTGTTTTAGGAAGGGCCAGGGAAAGATTTTTTCTGAAATAACCTTTTTCAAATGGTTTGATCAGCATTCTAGAAGTTGGTGAGTCAATAATATAGCATACAACTTTATGGATAACAACTTCTTGTCTATTGCACAGAGCAATGTGTCGGTTGTAATGCAAAACACTTTTAACTTGAAAACGGTGTAAGAATCTACACTGAAACATTGCTCTGTGCAATAAACAAGAAGTTGTTATCCATAAAGTTGTATACTTTATTATAGCCTCTTTCAGCCCACTTTCTATTTTAGAAAGGGATTTAACTTGAGTTTTAATGATTTGATTTTGAGGAAACTATGATCATGCTCATGAGTCTTCTGGGTGACCTCTTCATAAGGTCACAGTGATTAACAATCACATGAAACAATGCCCAAATTTCAGGAAGCATTAAAGCAGTTCCAGGGGCGGTAGAGTAGCCTAGTGGTCAAAGCGTTAGCTTGTCACGCCAAAGATCCGGGTTCGATTTCCCACATGGGTACAATGTGTGAAGCCCATTTCTGGTGTCACTCACCGTGATATTGCTGAAATATTGCTAAAAGTAGCATAAAACTAAACTCACTCACTCACTCAAAGCATTTTCCAGTGATAAACCGTGAATGACTAGACTGTGAGTGTGGTGTCAAATGCCTAGATCACTTTGAAGGTCTTTCACCCATGAAATGACTTGTGTAAAGTTTAATTCAGAAGGTATTGTCAGCTTGGTAGGGAGCTTCATATTTGTAACTAATACTTCACATATGATTGGCAGAGATTGAAGGTCAGTGTAAAATAGTAGTGCCAAAAAAGCTTGTGTACGTAATATCTTCATGCATATTTAGGATTCAGTCCATGTGTCCATGGTGAAGTCTACATTGTGTGAAGCCCATTTCTGGTGTCCCCAGCAGTGATATTGCTGGAATATTGCTAAAAGCAGCGTAAAACCCCACTCACTCATCGTCAAGTCTTATTATGAAAAGTTGCTCACTGACCCAAAGCTATGTCTTTCAACCTGAAGTGATTATAACTCAATAAGATTATTACTGCATTAGACCTTGTTAGGAAACCCTTCAAATGTAATATATGTTTTATTTGGGATTATACTTTGACAATAAAGTACAGATTGTAGTTCTTCTTTGGGTTGAGTCCCATCTGGGATTTGTACCCACACTCTCAGAGTGAGGCCCCTAATGGCCAGCACACAAAGTCGGCGATTTAACCCACTTAGTCACCATAGCTTTCACAAAAATGGAAGTCAGACATCTTGTAGTCTAGATCACATACTTTGTGTACCCCTCCGATAAGTGTAAATTGTAATCTATGAATACACAATGACTTTTACATAGGGGTAATTATTTGGGATATGCTTTCTCAGTGAATTGACACTCAACATCAAGAAGTACTAGAATCTGTACTTCATTGAGAAAGTGTGATGTTATGTAAGGAAACATGTTTGCAAATGGAGTTTTATGGTTTGCAAATGATTTTGAATCTAAATGTTTTGGGCCATTCGGAAATAAAGAATGGGATGTATCTGTTTCTGTTTCTGCTTGTAATGCAAACACCCTTGTTCTTTTAATATCAATCTTTAGCTATAGTTCCTATAATACCATACTTCTCATACTGGTTATACCTTGGGACTTGCCAAATTAATCCAAGTTTGCAAATGTCTGTTTACATATGAATAGCAAATTTGAAAATAGCATGTTCATTTTTAAGATCACAAATTCTGAGTTGATCATACACTATATTCCTGCACATGAGAGTTGCGTAGTTCCAGTTGGTGTATTATTGCTTGGTTGTCAGGTTTCACAGTGAGGTGAGGTGAGGTGAAATTGGGTTTTACGTCGTGCTTGAGAATATTTCGCTCATATGACGACGTGCATGCGTGTGTATGTGTATGTGCGGCTGCTTGTACTAGCCCAGACTTAAGCTGGTTATATAGTGCTAGCCCACTGAGATACCATGCCGCAGTTAAGCATGAATACCCCACTCAGACACATTATACTGACTCCGAGCCGACCAGTCCTTGTTGTACCCATAAATGCCGAACGCCAGGCAGGGACCAACAAGTACCATATTTTAACATCTTTTGGTATGTTGGGTCGGGGATCGAACCCGCGACCTGCCGCTCTCCGGGCGGATTCACAGTGAGAATGACAAGCTAAAGTGTTGTTGCCCATGTCAGGTTTCACAGTGAGAATGACAAGCTAAAGTGTTGTTGCCCATGTTGTCAGGTTTCACAGTGAGAATGGCAAGCTAAAGTGTTGTTGCCCATGTTGTCAGGTTTCACAGTGAGAATGGCAAGCTAAAGTGTTGTTGCCCATGTTGTCAGGTTTCACAGTGAGAATGGCAAGCTAAAGTGTTGTTGCCCATGTTGTCAGGTTTCACAGTGAGAATGGCAAGTTAAAGTGTTGTTGCCCTTGTTGTCAGGTTTCACTGAGAGAATGACAAGCTAAAGTGTTGTTGCCCATGTTGTCAGGTTTCACATTGAGAATGGCAAGCTAAAGTGTTGTTGCCCTTGTTGTCAGGTTTCACATTGAGAATGACAAGCTAAAGTGTTGTTGTCCATGTTGTCAAGTTTCACATTGAGAATGGCAAGCTAAAGTGTTGTTGCCCATGTTGTCAGGTTTCACATTGAGAATGGCAAGCTAAAGTGTTGTTGCCCATGTTGTCAGGTTCCAAATTGAGAATGGCAAGCTAAAGTGTTGTTGCCCATGTTGTCAGGTTTCACATTGAGAATGGCAAGCTAAAGTGTTGTTGCCCATGTTGTCAGGTTTCACATTGAGAATGGCAAGCTAAAGTGTTGTTGCCCATGTTGTCAGGTTTCACATTGAGAATGGCAAGCTAAAGTGTTGTTGCCCATGTTGTCAGGTTCCAAATTGAGAATGGCAAGCTAAAGTGTTGTTGCCCATGTTGTCAGGTTTCACATTGAGAATGGCAAGCTAAAGTGTTGTTGCCCATGTTGTCAGGTTCCACATTGAGAATGGCAAGCTAAAGTGTTGTTGCCCATGTTGTCAGGTTTCACATTGAGAAGAAAAGCAAGCTAAAGTGTTGTTGCCCATGTTGTCAGGTTTCACATTGAAAATGGCAAGCTAAAAGTTGCCCTTGTTGTCAGGTTTCACATTGAGATTGGCAAGCTAAAGTGTTGTTGCCCATGTTGTCAGGTTTCACATTGAGAATGGCAAGCTAAAGTGTTGTTGCCCATGTTGTCAGGTTCCACATTGAGAATGACAAGCTAAAGTGTTGTTGCCCTTGTTGTCAGGTTTCACATTGAGATTGGCTAGCTAAAGTGTTGTTGCCCTTGTTGTCAGGTTTCACATTGAGAATGGCTAGCTAAAGAGTTGCCCATGTTGTCAGGTTCCACATTGAGAATGGCAAGCTAAAGTGTTGTTGCCCATGTTGTCAGGTTTCACAGTGAGAATGGCAAGCTAAAGTGTTGTTGCCCTTGTTGTCAGGTTCCAAATTGAGAATGGCAAGCTAAAGTGTTGTTGCCCATGTTGTCAAGTTTCACATTGAGAATGGCAAGCTAAAGTGTTGTTGCCCATGTTGTCAGGTTCCAAATTGAGAATGGCAAGCTAAAGTGTTGTTGCCCTTGTTGTCAGGTTTCACATTGAGAATGGCAAGCTAAAGAGTTGCCCATGTTGTCAGGTTCCACATTGAGGATGGCAAGCTAAAGAGTTGCCCATGTTGTCAGGTTTCACGTTGAGAATGACAAGCTAAAGTGTTGTTGCCCTTGTTGTCAGGTTTCACATTGAGATTGGCTAGCTAAAGTGTTGTTGCCCATGTTGTCAGGTTTCACATTGAGAATGGCAAGCTAAAGAGTTGCCCATGTTGTCAGGTTCCACATTGAGAATGACAAGCTAAAGTGTTGTTGCCCTTGTTGTCAGGTTTCACATTGAGATTGGCTAGCTAAAGTGTTGTTGCCCATGTTGCAGAGTTCCAGAGGCGGATCACAGAGCTGTCAACAGAGATAGAAATCGTGCGGGCAGAGAAAGCAGACAGTCTGGCCAAGAGGCTGAATCTGGAGAACAAAATACGGGTGAGGAGTGCAATTCAGGGTGCACATTCTTTCATCTTTACAACAGCTGTAGTGTTGAAGAACAAGTTTTTAGAAAGCATACTACTCAGGATGCCTTGAAATTATCATTGTGTTATTGACTTGTGCCTTTTCTTCAGGAAGTCTAATGTGTTTTTCATCCTAGGGCCTATATAGAGCTTGGTATCTCTTTGACTAGAGCTGTCCTTGGTGGGGAGGTTCCCTGTGGGAGTGAGGGAAAGTAGCTCTTAATGCACACAATATATGTTAGCTGAGCCAGTCTGCTGAACAGTGTCTTGTTGTGTTGTTGCTGCAAGACAAATTGACACATAACCAGTAATCAGCAGCAATCATAGTAATGAGATAGACCAGGTCCACTGTGATCGTGTGTTGTCAGCATGACTGAACACACAAATGTGACCAGTGACTGTAGTGTCCAGTTTTGACTGCGATGTGGACATGCAGGTGAAGGGCTTCACGCAGGGAGTGTGTTAAGTGTGTGAAGCTGTCAGATCTGTAGGTTGACCTTCCTCACAGCCGGTCAGTCGGGCCCCTCCCGGGTGTGTCAGGTGTAGGGTACAGGTGCAGGGTACACAAGACACAGGACCGTCAGCAATATGTAGCTGCTGCCACTTGATGACTTGCCAGCTCTAGGAGACCGGAGATTTTCAGCTCCACTTCCCAGGCAGCTGTGTGGACATGAAGCCCTGGTGGATGTGTTGGTTCTAGGGGGCAATCTCTGAGTTTGGAGGCTTCTGATCCAATATCTGTAGCCATCATGCTAGTTGTATCAAGGACATTCTGTATGCAAGTCTAGCATGGGCCGGCCACATCTACTCTGCTTGATCAGTGAGTGGATAAAGCTCATCTTTCTCTGATAAAACAATTTAGATGAATAATTTTCCACCTGTGAAAGCTAATTCAAATGAATGTAGTATTGTGACAGGTACAGGTTCACATGCTTTGAGCTGAACATCAAAGAGAGCTTCAATGTGGTGGTTCATGTAGACTTTACTGTAATTGGCGTGTATCCCATCCTTACTAGGCCCTTATACATGTGTCAAGTGCTCCCCAATGCAGATGTGGTGACGCTGGAAGATCAACAATCACCATTCTTTACTGCAGTTCCACCTCCACCCAACAACCAGCAGGAGTCCTGCCCAATAATACTGTCGATGGAATCAAGTGGGAGATATTCACTTCAAACATTCCAAACAAATACATGAAAACTCAAATTTAAGTTTAGAAAATCAGAGATTTCAGATTCCTATGACATGTTTTGTGTCTATGGCCACAGTAGTGATAATTCAAAAGTAATCATTCCTTTTCTAAGTCATGGTAAGTCAGCATTAACGATATAAACATCTGTGTGTTCTGGTCAAGATTCAGCATCTGACATTGAATGGGTTCTCGAATCCTTTAAAGTCCTTTAAACAGTAACTTTGGCCTTTAAAGGGTTAAAATTATGACAAAGTTGGTTTTTTAACTTTTATCTGAAATTTGTTAAGCATCAGCTAATGTAGAGGTAATTCTGCAATGAAAACAGCATGTCATATCTTTTCACTATAAAGTACATCATGACGATAGGTCCTGTTGGTATTGTACACATTTTCCATATTCAGGTTGTCCTATCTGTAGAATGCTTGTTGTAGTTTAGGTAGGGTGAAGTACTGGACATTGTCTTCACCACAGTACTGAGTAGGTTGTGATTGTACTGTGTGTACTGCTACAGGTGGCTGTTACTACTGATGTGACCAGTGGACAGTGAGGATTACTTCACTAATATGCTGGTCCAGCATGTGTACTCTCAGTTTGGCTTCCTCTCAGGGGCTACCTAATCCCTCCATTGAGAGGTGCTTCATTAAAACATTCAGTGAGGCCTAAAGATTTGATGAGGTGAATCTGTCTCACGTCACTGTGCTGGGACTGCAGCGAAGACAGGGGAAATCACTCACGAATATACTGTGGTTAATGTGCTAGACCCAACATGTAACTCACGCACAGGACAGTCAGACAGGGTCCAGTAGGTGTTGTCTCCGTCACTTAATGTCAATTCTGGTACTGTGTGTTTGTTGCTTCAGTGATAGGAACTCACAGGTTCATATGGACAGTTAAAGCTGATGACATTCTGACACCTCACCTTGAGATTAAACCCACATAACACTATGTTTTATATGAAAATATATTTTAATATTTAAAGTGTGATATAAAATCTAGACATTACTTTTGTCAAGAATAATTGTTGTGATGGCTAAAATAACTGATATTGCATGGAACATTTAGTAACGATCCGAATAACTGAACTTCACAACAGTGAAAACTGTACTCAAGGAACTTTGAGAATATCCTAACAGCTTGATTACCTCAGATTAAAAGTTTATAAGAAATGAATATTGACAGGAGGAGGAAGACTGTAATGCCAAGCGTACAGCTGTGTTGCCAAGGATTACTTGGTGGTGGTGTTTGATCACAGCTTGATCGACATGCATCAGGCAAAGCACATCTCTGTCACAGTGAGAGGCACAAATAATTCATGTCAGCCGTCAATATTTGATGTCTTAATCTTGACAGGTCCTATCCCCATGTCTTTGACTTGAGGGTGTAATAGATGGCCATTGACGACATCGCTAGATCTCGTTTAATTATGATAGGGGGTAGTCAGTACGTGTACAGATTCATCACTGAATATAGTAGGAAGTTAGGGACAGTACTAGAGACTATATATCAATGGTATTTGGTCATCAGAGAGGACTTGTCATCATGGGATGTTTCGTATATTTAGTACACATTAACTGATGAATGATGGCGTGACTTACAAGAGAGGGGTCATGAAACAACTGCAAACAGGAGAGTGTCAAAAACACTAAGTTATTGTGGGTATTTTATCATGAAAGTGTCTTATGGTAAATGTATATTATAGGTCAAATGTGACTTTGCCTTGCGTTGTCATCAACAAGTGCATATCCTTTAGGATGCTTTGGCTGTGAGCCAGCAGCAGTTCCCTTTAGGGGCTATCTTGGTTGTGACAGGTGCAGAAACTCAAGCAGTGTCTTATGCACATGATACGCCATTACAGGGCTGGGTTAAATACTTTGATTCAAGTCAGTCATTGTGCCAACCCTTTTGACTCCAACTCTCTCACTGGATGGTTTGATGGTTACCAGGTTCCAAGGTTTTGTAGCTGTTTCTTCTTCTCCTATGGGTTCTCCTAAGTGTAGCCGGGTTGAAACATTTGACCATAGTGTTTTTTGGCACATATTTGTCTTGTAGTAATGCTTCCAGTGATGGATTCGTCAGTTTTTGATGATAGCCCAGTATTGGCTAAGTTCTGCTTGTGGGCTCGCTTTGGGTTCAGTTCTGACGTTGAACAATTCTCTCTCGAGTTAGGGATGGGTTTTTAGACTTGAAAATGAAACTTTTTCTTTTTGAGCTTCCAGACAAATCCTGATTGAAACATCTGGCAGTGAAAAGGCTTTCTTGTTGGCTCAAGTCTCGGCTGTTCTGAGTTGGAGTTGGTCTTCAGCAACAGATGCTTGTCATAAAAAAACAAGTAACAGGATTGGGTGGTCAGGCTCGCTGACATTGTATCCCAATTGCATAGATCAATGCTCATGCTGTTCATCACTGGCTTGTGTGCTACAGACTTGATTATTTACAGATCACTGCCAAATAGCTGGAATATTGCTAAGTACGGCATTTTTTCCAGTCACATTGTTGAAATCACTATGACTAACATCTTTCAAGTATTGATATTATGTGTAACTGTATTCTGTAGGAACAAATTTACCATGTGTGGACGTCTTACCATTTTAATCTCAGTCTGTGTGGGAATTCAGACTAAAATCATTGTGAAGTTTTCCATGACTTTTATAGACTCAATCATAGGCTGCAACGTACCCATTTACCCATCCTCTATGTGGAATTCAGGTGAAATCATATTTAAAGGAAGGAATACCTTTGATGAAGAAATATTTCATTACATTGAGTATTGATGAATGTATACTGCTTTACACAACAGTGTGTTTACTCTCTGTCCACCCTACACTAATTGTGTGTGGGTAGCTGGATAGGTAGCGGATGGGAGGTAACATTGTGTGATGGATTGTGACTGGATTGTCAAAACTTGAGTATGGAGTATGACTGGATTATCCAGACTTGACTAGAGGGTATGACTGAATTGTATGGTCCAGACTTGAGTATGGAATATGACTGGATTATCTGGTCCAGCCCTGGAGATGGGAGATGATTGGGTTGTATGGTACAGTCTTGGATATGGAGTATGACTGGGTTGTATGGCCCAGACCTGGAGATGGGGTGTGACTGGGTTGTATGGCCCAGACCTGGAGATGGAGTATGACTTGGTTGTATCGCCCAGACCTGGAGATGGAGTATGACTTGGTTGTATGGCCCAGGCTTTGAGATGGAGTATGACTTGGTTGTATGGTCCAGACCTGGGGATGGGGTGTGACTTGGTTGTATGGCCCAGACCTGGAGATGGAGTATGACTTGGTTGTATGGTCCAGACCTGGGGATGGAGTATGGCTTGGTTGTATGGCCCAGACCTGGGGATGGGGTGTGACTTGGTTGTATGGCCCAGACCTGGAGATGGGGTGTGACTGGGTTGTATGGCCCAGACCTGGAGATGGAGTATGACTTGGTTGTATGGCCCAGACCTGGAGATGGAGTATGACTTGGTTGTATGGCCCAGATGGGGTGTGACCTGGAGATGGGGTATGACTTGGTTGTATGGCCCAGACCTGGAGATGGGGTGGCCCAGACCTGACTGGTTGTATGGCCCAGACCTGGAGATGGAGTATGACTTGGTTGTATGGCCCAGACCTGGAGATGGAGTATGACTTGGTTGTATGGCCCAGACCTGGAGATGGAGTATGACTTGGTTGTATGGCCCAGACCTGGGGATGGGGTATGACTTGGTTGTATGGCCTGGGGATGGTGGTGTGACTTGGTTGTATGGCCCAGACCTGGATGGAGGTGTGACTTGGAGACCTTGGGATGGAGGTGACTTGGTTGTATGGCCCAGACCTGGGGATGGGGTGTGACTGGGTTGCATGGCCCAGACCTGGAGATGGAGTATGACTTGGTTGTATGGCCCAGACCTGGGGATGGGGTGTGACTGTATGACTTTGTATGGCCCAGACCTGGGGATGGGGTATGACTTGGTTGTATGGCCCCCAGACCTGGGGATGGGGTGTGACTTGGTTGTATGGCCCAGACCTGGGGTATGGGATGGTGTGACTTGGTTGTATGGCCCAGACCTGGGGATGATGGGTGTGACTTGGTTGTATGGTCCAGACCTGGGGATGGGGTGTGACTTGGTTGTATGGCCCAGACCTGGAGGGGATGGGGTGTATGACTTGGACTTTGTATGGCCCAGACCTGGAGATGGGATGGGGATGACTTGGTTGTATGACTTGATGGGGTGTATGGCCCAGACCTGGGGATGGGGGTGTGACTTGGTTGTATGGCCCAGACCTGGGGGATGGGGTATGACTTGGTTGTATGGCCCAGACCTGGGGATGGGGTGTGACTTGGTTGTATGGCCCAGACCTGGGGTGACTGGGTTGTATGGTCCAGACCCTGATGGGGTGTGACTGGGTTGCATGGCCCAGACCTGGGGATGGAGTATGACTTGGTTGTATGGCCCAGACCTGGGATGGGGTGTGACTTGGTTGTATGGCCCAGACCTTGGGATGGGGTGTGACTGGGTTGCATGGCCCAGACCTGGAGATGGGGTATGACTTGGTTGTATGGCCCAGACCTGGGGATGGGGTGTGACTTGGTTGTGTGGTCCAGCCCTGGGGATGGGGTATGACTTGGTTGTATGGCCCAGACCTGGAGATGAGGTGTGACTTGGTTGTATGGTCCAGACCTGGGGATGGGGTGTGACTTGGTTGTATGGCCCAGACCTGGAGATGGGGTGTGACTGGGTTGTATGGCCCAGACCTGGAGATGGGGTATGACTTGGTTGTATGGCCCAGACCTGGGGATGGAGTATGACTTGGTTGTATGGCCCAGACCTTGGGATGGGGTGTGACTGGGTTGCATTGTCCAGACCTTGGGATGGGGTGTGACTGGGTTGCATGGCCAAGACCTGGAGATGGGGTATGACTTGGTTGTGTGGTCCAGCCCTGGGGATGGGGTATGACTTGGTTGTATGGCCCAGACCTGGAGATGAGGTGTGACTTGGTTGTATGGTCCAGACCTGGGGATGGGGTGTGACTTGGTTGTATGGCCCAGACCTGGAGATGGGGTGTGACTGGGTTGTATGGCCCAGACCTGGAGATGGGGTATGACTTGGTTGTATGGCCCAGACCTTGGGATGGAGTATGACTTGGTTGTATGGCCCAGACCTGGAGATGGGGTATGACTTGGTTGTATGGCCCAGACCTGGGGATGGGGTGTGACTTGGTTGTATGGTCCAGCCCTGGGGATGGGGTGTGACTTGGTTGTATGGTCCAGCCCTGGGGATGGGGTGTGACTTGGTTGTATGGTCCAGCCCTGGGGATGGGGTATGAGTTATAAGTGTTCTTGCTTAGGAACTAGTTGCATCAGAAATGTTAATATTGTCTCCTTGCAGTGACATACCATGTGTATGATTTAATTATATTAATGGATATCACCTCTTGATCTAAGACTACAACATTAAAGGACTGATCAATATACCTCTGTCCATGAAGAATTATCAGACATTGGCCTAACCCTGATCTGTCCACTGTTTCAACTATAGACCCATGCCTAAACTCAGGTAGTAATAGTAATGTTTGTTACCTCATTGTTTCTTGCATTGTTGCAGGGCCGCATGTCCCCTTGTTAGGTGACTCAACCAGTAGATATGTTTACAAATATACAGGAAAGTTTGTATTAAATGGGATAGGATCAGTTTGTTCATTGAAAGAGTTCACATCTGAAGAGCTTCATGATTGCGGAATGCAATAAAATATTTGAGAAGGTAAAAATAACCCTGGCACCACAGTTAAGGATCATGGTCAAGTTATTGAAATGAGTTCAAGGTGTGTGTCAAGTAACTGGTAGCTCACGGTCGGTGCTGTGTTCACTATATGTGCTTGTATTTCAGAATCTTGACAGAGAAGTCTCAGACAAGGTCACCAAGTTTCAGAGTCTTGTCCAAGAGGTGAGTATGGAAGATATTTATCACTTAAAATGAAGGGAGAAGAAAATGAAGACACCAGTGACTGATCTGGCTAGATGCTTTAGTGAGCAGAACAAATATATATGTTTGTTGAATGATCATGTGTTGTTGGTGAGACAAGGGAGAAAACTCCATTGAAACCAAGCATCACCAGCCTGGGTCTTGTCCCAAGCATATTGATCCCCAAGGATAATGTGGCGTACACTGAAAGCTACAGGGCAGAGCAGAGCCATTATGACCAGGTATACACAAAGGGCTACAGGGCAGGGCAAAGTCAACCTCCCATTGTGACCACACATAACAGGAATGAGGCTATGAGTGCTGTACACCCAACACTGTCACTACAGGATGGAACAAACCCAATCTGTCATTGTGTACACCCAACATTGTTACTACAGGACGGAACAAACCCAATTGTCATTGTGTACATTGTTACTACAGGACGGAACAAACCCAATCTGTTATTATGTACACCCAACACTGTTACTACAGGACGGAACAAACCCAATCTGTCATTGTGTACACCCAACATTGTTACTACAGGACGGAACAAACCCAATCTGTTATTATGTACACCCAACACTGTTACTACAGGACGGAACAAACCCAATCTGTCATTGTGTACACCCAACACTGTTACTACAGGATGGAACAAACCCAATCTGTCATTATGTACACCCAACACTGTTACTACAGGATGGAACAAACCCAATCTGTCATTATGTACACCCAACACTGTCACTACAGGACGGAACAAACCCAATCTGTCATTGTGTACACCCAACATTGTTACTATAGGACGGAACAAACCCAATCTGTTATTATGTACACCCAACACTGTTACTACAGGACGGAACAAACCCAATCTGTCATTGTGTACACCCAACATTGTTACTACAGGACGGAACAAACCCAATCTGTTATTATGTACACCAAACACTGTTACTACAGGACGGAACAAACCCAATCTGTCATTATGTACACCCAACACTGTTACTACAGGACGGAACAAACCCAATCTGTCATTATGTACACCCAACACTGTTACTACAGGACGGAACAAACCCAATCTGTCATTATGTACACCCAACACTGTCACTACAGGACGGAACAAACCCAATCTGTCATTATGTACACCCAACACTGTTACTACAGGATGGAACAAACCCAATCTGTCATTATGTACACCCAACACTGTCACTACAGGACGGAACAAACCCAATCTGTCATTATGTACACCCAACACTGTTACTACAGGATGGAACAAACCCAATCTGTCATTATGTACACCCAACACTGTCACTACAGGACGGAACAAACCCAATCTGTCATTATGTACACCCAACATTGTTACTACAGGACGGAACAAACCCAATCTGTTATTGTGTACACCCAACACTGTCACTACAGGACGGAACAAACCCAATCTGTCATTGTGTACACCCAACATTGTTACTACAGGACGGAACAAACCCAATCTGTCATTATGTACACCCAACATTGTTACTACAGGACGGAACAAACCCAATCTGTCATTATGTGGACCCAATACTGTTACTACAGGACGGAACAAACCCAATCTGTGATTGTGTACACCCAACACTGTTACTACAGGACGGAACAAACCCAATCTGTCATTATGTACACCCAACACTGTCACTACAGGACGGAACAAACCCAATCTGTGTAAACCAAACATTGTGTACAAACCCAACACTGTCACTACAGGACGGAACAAACCCAATCTGTCATTATGTAAACCAAACACTGTTACTACAGGACGGAACAAACCCAATCTGTCATTATGTACACCCAACACTGTTACTACAGGACGGAACAAACCCAATCTGTTATTGTGTACACCCAACACTGTTACTACAGGACGGAACAAACCCAATCTGTCATTGTGTACACCCAACACTGTCACTACAGGACGGAACAAACCCAATCTGTCATTGTGTACACCCAACACTGTCACTACAGGACGGAACAAACCCAATCTGTCATTGTGTAAACCAAACACTGTCACTACAGGACGGAACAAACCCAATCTGTCATTGTGTACACCCAACACTGTCACTACAGGACGGAACAAACCCAATCTGTCATTGTGTACACCCAACACTGTCACTACAGGAAGGAACAAACCCAATCTGTCATTGTGTACACCCAACACTGTCACTACAGGACGGAACAAACCCAATCTGTCATTGTGTAAACCAAACACTGTCACTACAGGACAGAACAAACCCAATCTGTCATTTTGTACACCAAACACTGTCACTACAGGACGGAACAAACCCAATCTGTCATTGTGTACACCCAACACTGTCACTACAGGACGGAACAAACCCAATCTGTCATTGTGTACACCCAACACTGTCACTACAGGACGGAACAAACCCAATCTGTCATTGTGTACACCAAACACTGTCACTACAGGACGGAACAAACCCAATCTGTCATTGTGTACACCCAACACTGTCACTACAGGACGGAACAAACCCAATCTGTCATTGTGTACACCAAACACTGTCACTACAGGACGGAACAAACCCAATCTGTCATTGTGTAAACCAAACACTGTCACTACAGGACGGAACAAACCCAATCTGTCATTGTGTAAACCAAACACTGTCACTACAGGACGGAACAAACCCAATCTGTCATTGTGTAAACCAAACACTGTCACTACAGGATGGAACAAACCCAATCTGTCATTGTGTTAACCAAACACTGTCACTACAGGACGGAACAAACCCAATCTGTCATTGTGTACACCAAACACTGTCACTACAGGACGGAACAAACCCAATCTGTCATTGTGTACACCCAACACTGTCACTACAGGACGGAACAAACCCAATCTGTCATTGTGTTAACCAAACACTGTCACAACAATCACAACAGTGCATGTAGGACAGAATCATACCTTCTTATCTATTGTGTGCACTGGATTACATAAACTTCAAACAGATTTGAAATATTTTATTCCTATCTCTTATAAATCTATAAACTAAGAATACCTTCTCTTGTAATTTATTGATTTGTGCAAGTTCACTTGATGTCTGGAATGAAGCCTCACACCGCATCCTGTGAACCAAATTCCAACTGTTCCAAATGAGAGTGTTGATTGTAGTAGTTTCTCTATTGTACATAGTTGGAGGAGGCAAACCGAAAGCTCCAGAGGTTTGAGGAGGATGGCCGGCAACAGCAGAGGGAGATCACCTACAAGAACACTGAGCTGGAGAATGTCAGGTATGTCCTTTGCCAGACACTCAGTAACAGTTCATGGTTGTCAGGTGTGACACATCTCAGTTGAAGAGGAGCTTGGCTCAGGCTGATTGTTGTTCCAAGCAAGTTTGATTCAAGCTGTTATATTGTTTGTATAGATTTATCCCATTTCACATATTGCACAATGTACATATTACTTATAAGTTGTACCAATTATACAAGTTGTACGAGTTGTGAAAGGTGTGTGAGTTGTACGTGTGAAATTAAAATTTCACTGCACACACTTGTTGATTACCTGGCTGTTCTACCAGCAAGCGGCACTCCCTCGTAAGAAACGGCAAAAAGTGACAACAAAATAATGACAAATTAAATAATATTTGGCACAAATGAAACAAGGAAAAGAACAATTTAACACCAACACAGTGGTTACTAGTTTGACCTAGTTTCTCCACTCTAAAAAAAAAACAACCCTGAGACTTTAGACAGCAACTTGACCTGGTCATGACATATCAGAGATCACTGGTCATTAATGAATAAATTTTTTATAACATACAGATCCAAAACATTGCGAAACACTTTAACAAAAATTAAGAACACAACTTCAAACCAAACTTAACTTGACTTTGAAGATCCGAAGATTTCCAAGTGTCACGAAGTTTTCCGAATGCATGTCAAAATACCGGTTTTCGATCAGCGTATAGCAATACGTATCGTTTTCATGTCTGAACCGGTAAATACCTGTAAACTAGTTATATTGCGCAGCCGTAGTAGCTACTGTACTCATTATATATGTTGTGCACATGTATGTTGTTGGTTTGTTTTTTTGTATATTTATTTCCACGTCACAATGTATAGGATGTTCTCCGTACATTTTCCGAAAACCCAGGTTCAATTCCCCACATGGATACAATGTGTGAAGTCCATTTCTGGTGACCCCTGCCGTGATATTGCTGGAATATTGTTAGAAGCGGCGTAAACCAATACTCACTTGTGTCAACAAGATTAGTGCCAGTTGAATTAGGATTAGCAGTATTAAGTACTCACCTCTGTCTGGTCATTTCATTTATTGTAGGGTATTATAGGGCACACCCCATTTTGTATTTTCGACCAATTGTAATCTTTTTATAGTTTCAATTTTAAATAAATAAATCAAAATGTTAGGCAGTAGGGTTTGGACTCCTTGTAAATATAATTGCAATTAGGTTCTTGTGACTTCGGACTCTTTTGCTGATTTTCACGCCATTTAAAGGGGGGCTTCACCAGAACCCCATTGGTACCATACACAGGCGACCACAATAATACTATATATGGTATTAATGTTGCTCATTGCAGGAAGGAACTGTCTGATCTGTGGGCCAGCCACAACCAGCTGACAGAACACTCCAGTCAGCAAGCAGAGCTCATCCGCAGCTGCAGTCTCTACAGCTGGACACTCAGAAGAGTAGGTCCTGCACCCGTCTTAGTTCTGTTGTCACCGGCTTGTCACTGGCTTGTCACAATCATATGATCATAGGTTTGGATATCAGAGTCACCTCATTTGATTCATATTTTGCAACACTACACTCAAACTCATGAGCTTCGGCAGCAATGTTTAAACATTTCCTCTTTCTTCTACTTAAGCTGACATGCTGTGATGATGTAAGTGGTTCTCTGTTCAAGGTCCTCACTCTCACATATCTGAGTGTAGTATACGTTGTGACTGCAAAATGACACATGACTCTGCTGAGTGTATGCCCTGATTGTATGGTTTTTCAGTGATGAAGAACCAGGAAGATGCCTTCTCCATAGAGTCCACATCACTACAGCAGGTCAGTTGACAGAATCAGTGATATGCCTTTCAAGAATATTCAAACACCCTATTATGAGGATACGTTAAATGTTGTGAACTACACATGTTCAAAGGTAAAATAACAATGAAAGTATCTCTTACAGGAAAGGAGAGTGACAAATTAATATTTGGGTGGGAAATGCTTTAGAATATACATTGTTGCAAGATCTTTGTTTTAATAAGACATTTGGGTCCATAGTCATGATTCACAGCATCTGGTTTTGCAGCTGAAGTTGAAATAATATCTGGACTCCCTAGAAAATTCCTAGTTATTGTCACATAAACAAGGAAATTCTTATGAATATGTCAATGTAACACTTGATTGTATTTTCTTGAAACTTGTTTCTAAATCCACAGGTTTAGCAGGAATAAAAAATTTCAAGTTTAGGAATTTGTCTTTCTTGTGAGTGGTCCTCCAAGCGCTATTCACAAGCGCTCCCTATCAGAAATGTGTGAAAACTTCATAAATTTTCCTGTGGCTCACATGCATGCTTGTGGTTATTTGCTCTCAGATTTTTTAAATACAATTTCACAATTTGGCTGCTCTCTAAATTTATCTTTCCTTCTCAGCAGTCAGCAGGTTTTTCTCAAGAAGCTTCCTCAATGGAACAGATCCAGCAGTGCCTATGGTACCGGAACCTCTGTTCCATCTTAGGAAGGATTTTCATCTTTATACATGGCACTCTAGAAGAATATCATTCTGCATTAGCATCTGTCCCCGCCATACAAGGAATTCATATTGGAAAGGACCCTTTACCTACTAGCATGCTCTGTTCCTTTCAGATCAGGGTTTCCTGAGACCGCCAAAGACCCAGGTTCGATTCCCCACATGGGTACAATGTGTGAAGCCCATTTCTGGTGTCCCCTGCCGTGATATTGCTGGAATATAGCTAAAAGCGGCGTAAAACTGAACTCACTCACTCACACTTTCCTGAGACAACTCATATATCTACAAAATCCTTTCGAACTTATGGAGAAAGCATCTGTATTGCAGCTGACTTGGAAGACTGCCTTTCTTCTGGCCTTTGTTACAGCCTCTAGGATTCCAGAACACTCGATTGTCTTTATGAAGGATCCTCTTGAGTCATTGTTGGAGGACTGCCTGAGTTCCTTGCCAAGAATCAGAAGATGGGATCTTTGGGACAGTGTCCTTTCACTATCCCAGTTCATGCCACTATGTTGGATCGCAATCTACCAGACAGGTTGCTATGCCTAGTTACACCACTTAAATGGTATTTGCATAAGACCAACTCCTTTTATTGTGGATAGGGCTTCAACGAGTCCATTTTCTTGGACTCGAGTACTCGAGGAGTCAGACTCAACTCGGACCCGAGTACTCGAAATTCATACCTTTCCAGCAAACCATAGCATAACTGGCATGGCATTACACAATACGATGATTGTTTGAACAAGGGTGAATTAGGTAACTTAGTAATACACATGCATGTTGTTAAACCATTACAGTTTAAGGCATGAAATGTGTTCCGATCATGCAAGTTAACACTTACTTCTTTTCGACTTGATATTGTCATGTGACTTACATTTTCCATTGTTATAATAATGTAAAATCAAAGACAACAAAATAATGAAAAACATATCCTTGATTATGCATACCCTAAATTATATTGATTGATTTAGTTTCATGAGAATTTCATGTATAACTAATTTACTTACTTGCTGGCATGACATGACTATGGGGCGACTTTGCCGCCTTGGGTTCAGGTTGCTGTACATTAAGAATAGCACATGGTGAAGACATAATCAGCCATTGGCTGTTAGTAAATTATGGAAAACCAATGAAATGAACTTTCAATCAGCGCAATCCATTGAATACGAGACGGTTAAAAGGAAGAATTTTGATTGATATTGATGGACTTTAACAATTCTTTTCGAAATTATTAACTCAGTCTGGCAATTGTCTAATGTTGATAATTGCTTTCAAAATTACATTTTCAATTGTTTAAAGTGATAAATTATGACTAAGTACTCTGAAAGAAATCATATGAAACAAAAAGAACAACACGTTCGTTACATTTCAAGATGTTTAATAAACAGTATCAAGATTCAAGAAGTTATGCCCGCAAAGTTTTTCTTCACATGTTCACTTTCACTCAGGTATCTGAACATCAGAGGAACATGACAAACAAATGAATCACTTATCTCATGTTAACCACATTAACACACAGGCAAACTAACGCAACTGAGTTGCGCAACAGAATATAATAATATCGGTCGCATTGGGTAAGACTGGTCATTTTGCTTTGTTGCGCAACACAGTTGCATTAGTTTGCATGTGTGTTCAGTTGTTAACAAACAAACCACATATAAGAAATGCGTAAGTCCTTAGGCGGTGTAGTGCTGTGAACATTAGTAATCATTACAATCTCAGAGTGAGTTTAGTTTTTACGCCGCACTCAGTACAATCTCAGACACACTTTAACTGATTGAATGCAAGTTTCCATATTTTCTCAAATATATCAACATAAGTTAACATTAACATTTAACAGATAAACAAATAAATCATTCACGTCTTTAACGTTTTACAAATGTCGAAAAAAATGGAAAGAACGTAAGAAATGCCAATTAAACTCGAGAGTAGAGCCTTGTAATGTTGTTCACTGACACAATTTGACAGCTGGTGTAACTGGTAGATTGTCAGTTATAGCATGGAAGTGTAGCATCTTCTAACTTGCTGTATCAAAAATGTCACTATAAACTTTGAAACATTTAAACTCGAACGTCAATAAGTAAATATCTTCTGAATTTGAAAACTTCAACACATATGCGGGAGATCGGGAAGTGGCGGTTGAGTGATGTTAGTTTAACCAGACTCACTCGACACTGTCTGAGGAATGGGATTAACCGGCTCCACCTTTATAGCGACTGCTGGCACTGGTGGACAAGATGACGTTGATGCAGACGAGGTTTGTAGAGTATTTCTCAGGTTTTTATTCAGAAAGATGATTGCACCTGCTGTGCTTGAATCAAGTGATGCCCGCTGTTTGGTGATCGTGAGACCGGGGGTAGAGAAGGCTCTCTCAGATGGTACACTTGTTCCGGGTATACAAAGATTTTCTTGAGCCAAGCCAAGAGTTAACGATTTTAGCGTTGACGACCAGACAGCTTGTTAGGGGCACATAGATAGTCATGATACTCAGCTCTGGCATCTTTGTGAAGGTTCTCATCGATTTCGATGATGTCATCCAAGAGGAATGACATAGCACTGTCATTCTCACAAACTTTTTGCTTGGCTGTTTGGGTGTTGTTGCTGGCGAATCTGGCTCTTCTTCTGGTTCCTCCTTCACATGAAAAGCAGGAGTTTATTCTGTTGGATGACGTGTGTGGTTGCGTTCAATCAACTCGATAATATGGTTTTCGATGTCACTTTTTTTATCATCTGTCAGGAACCGCAGATTTTTGTAACAAGGGTTCAGGGCCGTTGCAATCATTTGAGGTCTCTTTCAAAACTTGTCTTTGAGAAGACGCCCTTCCAGCCCCTCTGCGATGGTTGTCTTCATGTCTGCTATGATATTCGTGTCCAAATCTGACACTTTCAGGTGCTTGTTGACTAGCGCAAACAGAAGGGGGGTACACACCTGAAGATGTTGGAAACTCTTCGCTGCAAAGGACTTCTGTGGCGGATACTAGTGGCTTCAGTGCCACCATAAGGTATTCCAGCAAACTCCAGTGTGTATCTTTTAGATTCAATCGCTTGTGTTTCTTCAGCAGCGGGTCATGGAGCACAGCCACGATCTGTGTGGAGTTCGGCCAGACGTTCCAACATGAAATAGGCAGGATTCCAGCGAGTCACCACGTCGGTAATGACATTTTTGGGAGCTTTACCAAGCTTTGATTGATGTTCTCTGAGTTCTTGAGTTGCCAGAGTTGACTTTGAGAAAAACGCTACCAGCTTATGTGCAAACATCAGCATATTCTCAATGGAAGGAAGTTTCAAACCATCATGGACTGCTAGTTGAAGAGTGTGGGAGAATCATCTCACATGAGGATAACCTGCAGTCTTTGCCGCCAGAGACATGTTGCTCACATTGTCAGTAGTTAGGCCGACCACTTTAGCAATTCCAAATTCCTCCTGCACAGAATTTAAAATCCGTCTAATATTCTCGCCCGTATGGAGTTCCTCCACACTCCGTGTGGTCAGCACACACGACTCAAGTACCCAATTGTTAAGAAAGTAAGCACACACGACTCAAGTACCCAATTGTTAAGAAAGTAAGCACACACGACTCAAGTACCCAATTGTTAAGAAAGTGAGCACACACAACTCAAGTACCCAATTGTTAAGAAAATGAGCACACACACGACTCAAGTACCCAATTGTTAAGAAAGTGAGCCGTAACTGTAATACAGCCCTCTGCTGCTATGCTTGTTCACATGTCTATGGTAAGAGCAACGTATGGAATAGCTGGAAGTTTGGTTTTTAGCTCTGACTTAGCTTCGTTAAAAGTCTTATGCAAGTAATTGTGGAAAGTGGTTGAGCATGGGACTTTATAGTTAGGGTTTAACTCGGCACAGAATGCACAAAAACCGTCACTGTTCACAATGTTTAGTGGTCTAAGGTCACGAACGCACATGAGCATTGCTTTCTGTGTGACCCTTTCGTACCACTTTCTATCTACAGGTTTTGTTATTCCAAAGTTGCCAAATGACCCAAGAGTGGCCTGCTTTCACTTTAGCTGGTCAGAATTAGTATTTGGGTGTTTGCATGACAAAAGCTTTTTCATGGTACTGGTTGTGCTCCCTGCATAACTCAGTGATGTACCACACAGACGACATTTTTTTTTTTTCTTTTCATTATCCAAATCGAAATACGCCCATACATTTGATTTTTTATCCTTCTCCATCTCTGTCAATTGGCAATAAAATAGTTACCTAATCACTTTAAGAAGTGAAGTCTCAAATGATGTCTTATATCAGATGTTAACAGCCGCTTAGCACAGACAGACAGTCTGACAACGTAACCCGATTAGAGTTATCTCCCCTTATCGAGTCCTCGAGTCCTAGAAAATGGACTCGAGTCCAGCTAAACCCGACTCGTGCTCGAGTACTCTGGTACCCGTTGAAGCCCTAGTTGTGGAAACCGCCATGTTTGGTTATCTTGCCAAGAACAATCAGAAAAAGATAGTGCCATGAGCACAGTCACGGCATGGGTCAAGAAAACAATTAAACTTACTTTTGTGATGGCAGAAGATCGGCCTTATGGAATCCTATGTCCACACAAGATACGTACCATTGCTTTGCCCCTAGTGTCTTGGAAGACACTTTCGCAGGAACAGATCATGTTAGCCTGCCAGTGAGTGTCTTCTGACTGTGGGATATAACTCACGATTTTGGGTACCTGGCTGTCACCAAGTCCATCCACTTTACACTGGGGGGAATTGTCCATGTTGGGAAGTGTCTCGATTCTTTGGAGACCAGAATATAATCTTGTGTGCACACACTACAGCTGCAAGTTCTCACCTTGGTGTATTGGTAACTTCCATTTCATCTTGGAAGTTGAGCTTATGATTACTTTTGGAGATGTATTGAAAATAATGACAAAAAGATGTTTACAGGGTAGAGAATTTATAGACTTGAAGACTATGATGAACTTTCATTAAGTCTCACACTGCATTATGTATATACAGTGTAAATGGCATGTTTCCCCCGGGAGTGATGTGAAAACTACTTTTGACAGATTTCTTCCACAGTCTACTGATCACATATATTTGTGTCATAAAGAAATTGAAGATTGAATATAATTACAGAATAATCTAAACATCAGTGAAAAAAGAAACTATCAGAACATATAGAATTCATGTTAATACAACACCACTATTATCTCATTGCGATAAATACTGTATGCTGGTTGTCATCACATCGTCAACTCTTCATCTTCACTGGCAACTATTCACTTTAAGTTTTGCAAGTAATAGTGTCTTGTTGCTGAGGAATACTCAGCATGCATAAGGTAGGAAGCATTCCTGAGCTTGTCTGAGTTTGTCACCGACTAAATGGTAGTTGACAAACTGTAATTCAGTCACTTGTTTATAGCTGTGTTGATGGGAAGTTCTAGGTTTGTATGCTATGTGACATATGTAATTTGGAGGTGACATGTTTGCAAGAAGTGTAGGCATTTCATGGCTGGTGGCGACCAGTAGACTGGAAGTGCAAAACTACAAGTGCTCTGAAGATTCTGGGTGCTTTTAGTATGCCTCTTCTACAGGTGCTTTTATCAAGATAGCGGAATCATGTCAAGATGTTAGTGGTCTCAGAGATGATCTAGAGCAGTATTGGAACAGTCCTAGAAATTGGTTACATCTCAGTCCATCATAGCACCATGCTTCCTCAGTGACAAGCTTCAGATGATTGCGTAAGAAATTATCCAAGATAATAAAAAGGGATTTCAACATGATACAGTTTAACTTGTAGTCAAAATCACAGCTTGGCATTTAAGGCCAAGAGATCACATGGTTCTTTAATTGCCTCTTGCCATTTTGGGATTGAAACTGCTCCTTGCTTGCTTCTTCAAGTCACAGCTCCGTTCTTCAAGTTTTACACATTTTCAGGTTACATTCTCATGTCTCATCTTGGTTTTCTTGTTCATATTACCAAGTAAAATATCAAACAGGTACAAGACAAGGTTTATATTGTAGGAAGGACCCAGCTTCTTGGAAAAAACCTGTGTCATGCAGAAGATTGTAACGTCAGTCACTCCAAATACTTCCTCTGTGGGTCCCTGCTGGGGACCTGCTTTTGTGTATACAAAAATAGGGTTCTGAGATTGGTAAACAATTACTTGCATGTTTATGCTGTAGTTGGGTTCCAGGACTGGTGAAATTATGCTTCTGTTTCTATGCTGTAACTGGACATGCTTCCTTTTCTCCACTGCAGATGTACACAGATCTCAGTTCCCGCTATGAGATCAGCCAGAGAACAGAGACAAGTCTTCGAAAGGAGGTCCTTGCACTAAAACAGGTAAGATCACTATATTTTGTGTGTCACACAGCCTGGTAACTTGTAATATTGCTCTTTTGTGACATGCCTTGACAGCTCTTAGTTTGCAGAGTAATGAATTTGGAAAATATCCATTTTTGCACGACATACAAGTATTTCATCCCGTTTAAGTAACTCAACTATATCTGTCCATTGTCTGTTCTAAGACATATCAGTTGCATAAATTTCTCTCCATGTCAAAAAACATTTATTTTTCCTTATCCTGACTCATGATTATTTGCTTTCTCATCCTCTCTTCCGAACGGTCAAGTGGAAACTTGAATCCTTTCAATTCCCTTGCTGGTGTCCCCAGCCGTGATATTGCTGGAATATTGCTAAAAGCGGTGTAAAACTAAACTCAGTCAGTCAGTCAATTCCCTTGAAGCAAACGTACAATCACTCACCCTTTATTACCTCCCCTGGTTTTCCGCCAAAACCTGGCACGTGACCTCCCATGCCTTGGTCCTCACTCTCTCCTCTATCGCCCTAGCAGACAGTTGGACGGTCACTTCAGGGTCCTTTCGCGGCGTATAACTTAAAAAGTTTTGGAATTATAACACAAATTCTGCCATGAATGTGTTTATTAATATATTATTCATCATATTAGCAACAAAATTTGTACATTTCATGTCAAATTAATTCACGTTTTACTCCGTTTTCAGACGACTGTTTGCTTACATTTTGCAAGTGTAAACAGTGATTCAGCACGTCTCTACGCTTGAATTACACTCTGGTGTTCTTCTTGTCTGGTTTATGAGTTGTATATGTCTTGATGTTGATTATTCTGTATAATCATATGTGTAATATTGAATTTATGACCTTATATATTAATTGAATTGTGAAAATTTACTTGTAAATTTTTCACATGTGATTGCGAATTTGATTCTAATATTTCACAACCTGTTGGTACAGTTAACCAGACTGCGTGAGAAGGTGATACAGTCGTGAGAATTGTGAGTTGCTGTGACTACGGCTTGAGCTGTGCTGATATATGATGTCATCCCAGCCTAAGTCTGCGACGTCACCCGTACGGGAGAAGGTATCTCCACACACTGTAAGTAAAAGGAAGTCCCCTCCGGCAGAGAAGGCATCACAACATAAGAAGAGCAAGACGACTGCTTCAGGGAAGCAGTCATCATCATCCAGGCGCTCATCTAGATCGTCCCAATCTGGTAAATCGGCGTGATTGGCGCTACATACGTCTATGCAGCGTCTATCAACAGATATTGATGTGCCTGGCGCTGGTCGGTGGCAGGTCGGTGGCAGGGCGGTGGTCACAAACAGAGAAGGGTCTGCACATCAATCAGCTGGAACTGAAAGCAGTAATAGAAGCAGTACTAAATTGGGCGGCGCAATTAAAGAATCAGGTACTGACTAGGCTGTCCTCACATAGACCTGTTTGTGACTCGCTTCAACAATCAGGTGACAACATTTGTCTCGCCAGTGCCAGACCCGCTGGCATGGGCTGTCGACGCCTTAGCCATATCATGGGAAGGGATGAAGGCTTACGCCTTCCCTCCACCGATCCTGTTACCACAAGTACTTCGCAAGATCAACCGGACGAGGGTCCTACAACTGACTTTGGTAGCGCCTTACTGGCCAGCAAGACTATGGTTCCCAGACCTCATAGATCTTCACGGCGAACCTGTACTACGACTCCCAGACTGGCCGAATCTACTCGTCCATCCTCACACCAAGCAGCGACACGGCAACCCAACCCACGAGTAGCAGATTACTGGTGTCATTTGAGGTCCACTAGACATCTGAAGGGTTCCACATTGTCTACTTATCTTGCAGCAATCATTTCGGTCATCACCATGAAGACAGGGGTGAAATTGACCAAAGTGCCTGAACTTATAACCCTGCTGAGATCATTCAAGTTAGAATATCAACAACAGAAGTTCAGGGCACCAGCTTGGGACCTCAATATAGTACTACAGCACCTCATAAGTGAGGTATATGAGCCGCTGACAGAGACGACATTTGAGTTATTAACTCAAAAGATGATATTCCTCCTCGCCTTGGCTACTGCAGCTCGGATGTCTGAGATACATGCCCTTGACTTCAGCCGTACGAGATTCGACACGGGAAGAAGGGAAGCAGTCCATCTAGGCCTTAGATAGGACTTTATAGCCAAGAATCAGCTGCCGGGACAACCGGATCGTCAATTTTACGTTCCAGCATTATCAACTATCTTGGGTCCACAGGACACTCAAGATCTATCACTATGTCCGGTCAGAGCGCTGAAAATCTACTTGCAGAAATCTGCTACGAGAAGGAGGAAGTTCAAGCGTCTATTTATCCTGCTATCACCCGCTACAGCGGTAGAAGTCTCCCGTACTACGGTCTCCTTTTGGATCAGATCGGTGATCTTAAGGGCCTACAAAGCAGCAGGGTTAGAACCTCCAAGAGCATCTAACCCTCATGAAGTAAGAGCATTGGCCACGACACTCGCCCTACATGGAAACTGCTCAATATCATCTATAATGGAAGGCTGCTTTTGGAAGTCAGACACTGTCTTCGCTAACCACTACCTGAGAGACATCTCCACGGAAGATGTATCTGGTATACATCAATTCGGCCCTCTAGTTGTAGCGCAGCAACTCACTATGCCGGCCGGACGATGAAGAATCTCACCCTTGTCACGCAGACTCGTTGTCGCCAGGCAACTGTTCCATTGCCATTGGCTAAGAGTCCATGTTCCCCTGTTTTACGAGATAAAACAGCGCATGAGTGATACATAGACTCAGTTATGGTAATGTTCTTGTCTTAACAGATGGGTTGCGATACCAGTTTCGGTAATGTTCTTACCGTAAACATATTGGATAGTTGCAGAATATCTAGACAACACAACGTCTAGCTATAGTATACTAAATCCACAAAATTTAAGAAGTTTACTTCTAATACGAATGTATAAGAAGGTGGTCCCCCAATTAATATCAAGATAATATTGAAGTTAGCCGCAGATGAAGAAAATTCCCAGGGGGTAAATCAAGCTAACGCTGACGTGAATACAATCATGCAGGGAATCCCGTAGGTGGCTGACCCACCACCTATCCGTCGGATTTAGAAAGCAAATAATCATGAGTCAGGATAAGGAAAAATATGTAATTTTTATGATAAAATTAATATTTTATACTTATCCTGACTCATGAGATGAAGCCCTCCCAACCGTCCCCTCTCACCACACGGGTTTCCCTGTAGACCTGAGTTGGGCATATTTCGGAGAGAGTGAGGACCAAGGCATGGGAGGTCACGTGCCAGATTTTGGCGGGAAACCAGGGGAGGTAATAAAGGGTGAGTGATTGTACGTTTGCTTCAAGGGAATTGAAAGGATTCAAGTTTCCACTTGACCGTTCGGAAGAGAGGATGAGAAAGCAAATAATCATGAGTCAGGATAAGTATAAAATATTAATTTTATCATAAAAATTACATGTTTTCAGTTTATACGATAACTTAACAAAGATCGAAAAAGCTAAGCAAAGAGCAACAATAAGTCAATGACCTTATGTGGCATAATGCTATCACGTATTCAGTAGTACCACTCATTCCATCTCATTATGGTGAAGATCAAATTGCTTTTAGGCATTTGTTTTAGTCCCCTTAGTTTCTGATGTACTGAGGAAAACTTGCTGTTTTGTTGTTCACAAGATGGTGGCAAGGGGGCGCTGTCACACATATCCCCGTGTGACTGGTGAGAGTGACAGGTTTTTGCTCATGAATGTGTAGGGCTAATTGCCAGAGTCTGGTTAACCATGCTTGATTTCTTCCAAACACTACTGTCAATTATGAAGTTGGGTGGTGGTGACAAATTGTCACCTGGTTTGCCTGTGCTGTTGTCCCTGAGGACCATGGGGAGCCGCGAGCATGTGAACCTGGTAGGAGGTGTCCTGATTAGTAGGTCACCCACACCGCACAACCACTGCCACAACCACTGCTACAAGCACAAGCAAACACTCACTATACTGATCGCGTTTGTTTGATGCTGTAGGTATTTAGATATTCCCTTACTGTCAACAGTCAGAGGACAGTTATGATTTACTTGAAGACAGTTGTATCCGGAGTTTAAGGATAATTGCCTTCCCTAATTGCTTATGTATATTCCTTTTCATGTACATGTAGTTTGAAATTCTTTAGTTTTCTGTTTATGATTTATGGATGTGTCTGATAAACTGAGAAAAATATAATAGGCTGTTAGCAATGGCCATGAAGTAACTGTATATATCTACGTAATGTCTGTTTCATCCCAACAATCACATACCAGTGTATTGCAACCATGCCATGTATTGGTTTACCTTGGAATAGAACCATACAGCAGGTGTTGTGTCTAACGTTTCTGATGAGATAATGTTGCACATGAAGGTGGTAATATCACAACTATTGTGTCATTGTTGGATGAGGTAATGTTGGAATTGAAGACGGCAATTTCTCTACCACTGTGTCTGCCATGTCTTAGGTAATGTTGGAACTGAAGATGGCATGTCAAACTATTTGTAACTGTCATGTTTGAGGTAACACAAAAACGTAAAAGTGTTTGGTCCCTCTGAGTGGTACCAAAAATATGTCTGGCACATGGTCTATGGGTAATATATCAACTGTAATGTCACACCTGAAAGGCACAGTATGAAGACAAATGAATGATAAGTCTACCATGGCAAGGCAAAGAAGAGTAACTTGGTCCAATAAATACAAATCTGGGACCACAACAGAATCTTTTCTTATGTCGTGTACATGGTGTAAGTTGATTCTACTGAATCGCCATGGTGCTGTGTTAAACAACAAATACAAGAATGCAGAACTTTTTTCTTCAGAGAAGTTTTGTTAAATCTCTGATCATATGATGCATTAAAAATACATCATAAAGATAGGCTTTGTGTGATTTTAGGACTATTTGTATGATAAACACTGGGATATGTTTGATTGCCCTGCAGAGTGGT